GGAAACATAGAGTTTCCCCCTCAGATGGTCGTGGCCCCGCCCCCAGCGTCATAACATCACTTCCTGGTGACGCGCACGCCGGGGTGGGGTTCCCCCCGGGGCCCGATCCGCCGGCAGCGGGGAACGAGCCTCTGGGGCGGGTGTTTCCCCGCCCCCTGGGGGGACTTGGCATCCCTAACACATACGTATGGAAAATACCAAAAAAAAAAGGTAAAGCAGATATGACCAGCGCTTTTTTTTTAAAAAATGTAGACTAGTACACCTATTGTGTTCCCTTCAAGCAGTGGATGAGATTGTGTTGTTGTTTTTTAAAAGAGTCACGAAACATCTGAAACCAATCGGTGTCTGTCTGACGTAACTCCTACTTACGAGATGATGATGCCGTTGTCGATGGAAAAGGAGTCGGAAGGCAAGCCGGCAATGTTCCAGGCTCTGATTTTCACGGGTTCTCCTAAAGTGGCTGTTAGGGAGAAGTCATCGGAGCACGGGATGCCCCTCGCCTTGCACGTCAGCACCCAGTCGTGCGCTTGGGTCTGAAAGGGAAGAAGGCCAAAGGCCAAAGGCCGGCGTTACCACGGCTCCCTGCCGGATTTGAAGGAGGAACAATGTCCGTTTCAGGATACCAACAAAGCAGTAGCAAAGTCTTGAAAGAGAAGAAGAAGAAGAGGAGAAGGAGGAGGGCAAGTAAATTGGATTTATACCCCGCCCTTCACTACCTGAAGGAGTCTTCAGAGCGGCTCACAATCTCCTTCCCCTTCCCCTCCCCACAACGGACACCCTGTGAGGCAGGTGGGACTGAGGGACCTCTTTCAAGGACTGCTCTTGAGGGAAAAGCTCTGTGAGAACTTGTGAATGATCAAAGGACAACAGGCTGGCTGCGTGTGGAGAGGTGGGGAATCGAACCCGGTTCTCCCAGATTAGAGTCCACGCTCCCAACCACAACGCAAAAATGGTTCTGAAAGTTTGACAGATTATAAGGAGATTGCAAGCCACTCTGAAACTCCTTCGGCAGTGAAGGGTGGGGTATAACTCCAATCTCTTCTTCTTAGGGGGAAGACTTACTACAGCTTCACAGGGCCTGTGAAACAGAGCTGTTCCGCCAGGCCTTTGGTTGAGGCGGAAGACACCCAACCATCTGGCCTCCCTTGCTCAAACCTGCCCTATTACATTTGCCCATGTAAAAGAGATGTTACTATCGTTTCTGTTGTGACTCTTTGTTTTGTCATCTATTTAGCACTGCTGGGACCTTAGAAATTAAGCTATTTATTTGTGATGATTCGTTTTAATGGCTCTGTAAATTCTCTCGTTGTCTCCCACCCTGAGCCCGCTTGCGGGGAAGGCAGGGTAGAAATCCAACAAATAAATAAATAAAATAAAGAGTTAACTCCCCTTCTCCCTGTGCCTGGTGGTTCTGATCTGAATGGGGCAGGTAATGAGATCCATAGAAGGATCTCCCCGTGTCTCATGTCTTATTAGAAACTGTCATGATCTGGGCTGTGCCCCCAGAGGCCTACTAGGCCCAGGGAGCCTGGCTAGCAGTAGGTGAGGCTGGGACTACAACTCCCAGAAGCCCCTGAGAGGTTTTGGAGCCAAAATTGACCAATAGGGAAGAAGAGGGCTGGGGAACAAAAGGGCTGGTGCCAGAGCAGAAATTGTTCTTTCTTCCAGAGGGCAGAGCCAGAAGGAATGCTGCTGCAGGGAGAAATCCTCATCCTGAGGGAAGGGTGAGCAGTCTAAGGCCACTGCAGATAGTGAGCTAGGGACAGTATATATTTAGACCTGTTAGGGCATTTGATTTCTTTTCTTTTCACCCACTTATTGTTATTATTCTGCACCTTGTTGTTTGACCTCCTGTATCATAAACCTTTTCCTTGTTTCACTCTGCCTGGTCCTCACGCCTGTTATTCAGCCAAAAGGGAGGTCTGAAGGTCTTGGGAGGGAGCTCTGGGCCTTCTCAAGGGAACCTCAATCCAGAGTGGTGGCAGCGTCAGGTGACACCCCACCTGAGCCGTGACAGAAACCGTTCCCATTTGGGGGGAAGCCACAGGTGACGGTGAAAAACACAAATGCACGGATCTCTGGTTCGTAGATCTTTTGTTCTCCCTTCCTCCCTTGGATTTCTAGACCACCCTCTCCCTGATAGGACTCAGGGCGGTTTACAGCATTCAATGAATAACGTCATAGCATTTCAATAAATACAGTTATAAGCACCCAATAGCATGTCTTTGAATATCTTGATGCAGATGTTACCCCTTTCCCTTAACACTCAGCTTAAAACTGCTTGGTATCGCACTTAGAGGACCCCTCGCCCCATATTTTGTATAAAGTTGAAATTATGAACCCCTACGTTCTCAGAGGAGCCGTGTGTTGGAATATGTAAGTATTCAGCATGTGTGATACATGTGTAACAATGTACATAGATCAACTCAATCCAAGTGACAGATGTCAAAGTAACTGACAGTCCAGGTGACCAGAGCAATCTGGTTCTAACTGGTATGAAGCTGATGTCTTATCAGAGTGACTCAGCAGTGATATGATTGGTTGTTATATGTATATAACTGTGAATGTCTTGTACATTGTGTGCTGATGTGAAAACTGATTGCTTGGCGAAGCACTTTGCCCGAGAGAACTGTGACTTGTAAATAAACTGCACTGTATATAGTTTACCACTAAACCTGAGTCTGTGTGGTGACTATAGCAGAACCTCAACAAGGTGCAATTGGACTGCTAGAATCCAACGGAGACCTGGGGACGCCAGGAGCGCACTCCGCGACACCATGGTGGCTCAGAGGTTAAGATGCTGAGCTGCAGACCGGAAGGTTGGTAGTTTGGCAGTTTGGGAACCGAGTGCCGCGTGATGGAGTGAGCTCCCATCTCTGGTCCCAGCTCCTGCCAACCTAGCAGTTCGAAAGTAAGAAATTGCAAGTAGATAAATAGGTACTGCTTTGGTGGGAAGGTAACAGCGTTCCGTGCGCCTTGGCGTCTAGTCATGCCGGCCACATGACCACGGAAACGTCTTCGGACAGCGCTGACTCTTCAGCTTGGAAACAGAGATGAGCACCACCCCCTAGAGTCAGATTCGACTGGCTTTCGAGCAAGGGAACCTTTACCTTTACATTCTCAGAGAAGTATTTGTAGCTAAAATCGAGACAAAGTTAAGCACCGTGAAGTCCCGTTGCTTTTAATGGGACTGTTTAAGCATGAATCGATCATAAACCCCCAGAGTATAAAATAAATTAGACACAATCAGAAACATTGGACTTGGGAACTGATTTAGACACACACAAAAACAAAACAAAACTGCAAGGAACTTTAATGCCCCCTGGAAATTAAGTCCAATTAAATATTTCTGGATTCATCTCCCAGACAACTTTAAAACACTTTAAGGATAATTGTCTGCCACTTAGTAATAAAATAAGCAGAACAGGGATAAATTAAAGCTATTTTGATGTGATATAATGTCTGCTATAAAAAAGCTTACTGAATTTTTATTTGTGTCCTATGAGTTACAATCCTCTGCTGGTCCCAACTCATTTGTTAAAGAGTTGAAAAAAAAAATAATTTTAAAAGTTTTGTTGAGGTGGGGGGAAATGAAGGGAAAATGCCTGACTACGGCACACACACACACAAAAAAAACCCCAGAATGAGAGTGCTCTCCTAACTAAATGTTATTTCTATTGCTACATGGCTCGATCTGTGAATTTCTGACAAGCTCTATCAGGATACAAGTTTGACCCTCTTCTTTTGGGAGAAATGCTTTGGTCCCACAGTACCAGGGATCCTCACTCAGTAGTGCTGCCAGGCTCCCCCGGTGGCCATCAGCAGGGGATGAGGGGTAGGGTTGCCAGGTCCAGGTTGGGAAACGCCTGGAGATTTGGGGGTGGAGTCTAGGGGAAGACAGGGACCCCCTCAGTGGGGTACATAATGCCACAGAGTCCACCCTCCAAAGCAGCCATTTTCTCCAGGGGAACTGATAGGGTTGCCAGATCCAGGTTGGGAAACTCCTGGAGATTTGGGGGTGGAGTCTAGGGGAAGACAGGGACCCCCTCAGTGGGGTACATAATGCCACAGAGTCCACCCTCCAAAGCAGCCATTTTCTCCAGGGGAACTGATAGGGTTGCCAGATCCAGGTTGGGAAACTCCTGGAGATTTGGGGGTGGAGTCTAGGGGAAGACAGGGACCCCCTCAGTGGGGTACATAATGCCACAGAGTCCACCCTCCAAAGCAGCCATTTTCTCCACAGGGAACTGATCTCTGTAGTGTGGAGATAAGATGTAATTCTGGGAAATCATCAGGTCCCACCTGGGGAGACTTATTTTATTTTATTTGTCTTGTATCCCTCCCTCCCCGCAGGGTCAGGAGCCACATGTGGTAAGAAGGAGAAGAAGAAGAGGAGGAGGAGTAGATTGGATTTATACCCTGCCCTTCACTACCCAAAGGAATCTCAGAGCGGCTTACAAACTCCTTTCCCTTCCCCTCCCCACAACAGACACCCTGTGAGGGAGGTGGGACTGAGAGAGCTCTTGACAGAAACTGCTCTTTTTCAAGGACAGCTCTTATCAGAACTACGGCTTGCCCAAGGTCATCCAGCCAGGTGCGAGTGGAGGAGTGGGGAATCAAACCTGGTTCTCCCAGATTAGAGCCCGCGCACTTAACTGCTACACCAAACATGACACATGTGAAATAGTCCTCTTCTGAGCCCTGTTCCCCCATGTGGCACATGCTCCGTGTCTGAAGGAAAGTGGGCAGATTTCCATATGATGTCATCCTCCCAATCATGTCCAAATCAAGAGCAGCCTTTTTTTTACCTGGATAGGTTCAGCTTCATTTCAAATCTCCCCCAAACCGAGGTTTCCCATCACAACATTTTCAGTCTGTCGTTTTTGTTGGTCTGGTTGTTTTGTTGGGGTGTTTGAGAGGGAAGGCATTCCCCTCCCCCCCACCTTCCTACTTCTGCATTTTCTCAATTAACCCCTGGGGGGGTCTCTGCTTGCAGACAATCCAGAGGAGGGTCGGAGTTTAGCACCGCCATTAAAATGGTCATAGATCCAGAGGAGTTCGCCGTGTTAGTCTGTTGCTACAAGACAGTGAAGAGCCCAGTGGCAGCTTTAAGAGTAACAAACTTTATTGTAGCACAAGTGTTCGAGAAACACAGCTCTCTTCGTCAGATGCAGTTGTTTTGTCAGATGTTTCCCAAAAAGCTTATGCTTCAATAAAGTGCAGTTGTTTTGTCAGATGTTTCCCAAAAGCTTATACTTCATTAGTCTTAAAGGTGCTAAAGGTAAAGGTAACGGTTCCTTTGCTCGAAAGCCAGTCGAATCCGACTCTAGGGTGGCGGTGCTCATCTCTGTTTCAAAGCCGAAGAGCCAACGCTGTCCGAAGACGTTTCCGTGGTCATGTGGCCGGCATGATTAAACGCCAAGGCGCACGGAACGCTGTTCCCTTCCCACTGAAGTGGTACCTATTTACCTACTTGCAATTTCTTGCTTTCGAACTGCTAGGTTGGCAGGAGCTGGAACTAGAGATGGGAGCTCACTCCATCATGCGGCAACCCGGGTCTCGAACTGCTGAACTACTGACCTTCCACAGCCTGCAGTTCAGCGTCTTAACCACTTGAGCCACCGGAGCTCCTGTTAAAGGTGCTACTGGGCTTTTTACTATTTTTGCATTAAAATGCTGACACTCAACTCTGGCGTTCTTTTTAGTCTTTTAACAGCTGGGAGCTTTGGCTCAGAAGTTGGGGGGGCACTTGTGGGGGACCCAACAAGCTTATTGGGGGCGTCTATCGGGGGCCCCAACAAGATTATTGTCAGCTTCGTGCTTCTGCACCACTGTGATAAGCAGGAAGGAGTTGTGGAGCAGCACTGAGTGTCACGGGCCTGGGGTGCAGAAAAGCTGCCCCCATGCGCCTCGTGTGAAAGTAACCTACGTTGAGCCCCCCCCCCCAATGCCATTCTCTCATTCCTTACTTGTCTGTAGCTGGATGTGAAGGCTCCCAAGTAGGCTACGATGCCTGACGAGATGAGGATATCGCCTGTCAGATTGATGTACTGTTTCCCCAGTGCCAAGGCGGTCTGGCTCCAGCGGGTTTTCTCACCTCCAAGGCCACCGAGTAATTTCTCCGCTCGGTCCAGTTTTTTGCTGCACAAGTCAACCTTGAAACCAAAACATAAAATTAAGACGAAGCCATGGTCGCTACCTCGACCGCAAACGGTCTTTACGTTTTGCCGGCAGTGCTTAGGAGTGCTATTACAGACGCATCGATTTTGCCAGATGATATTATTATTTTTCAATAAAATAAATGGCCTTTGGATTGGATGTTACTGGGGTGCCTTAAGGAAAGGGGGGGGGAGGAAATGCGCGTGACAAATGGTCATGGCTGAAGACAGGTCTGTGGCATTTCAGTTCTCCTATCCTTCGAATAAATCATTTACTCCCTGTCTGAAATGTGCAACCGATAATGGATTTATATGCAATGCAGAAAATAAGAGCATCCAAATGAGCAATATTTATCTCACGAGAGAATGACGCTGACTTATGGAGGTCCCTTTCACACGAATAACCTGCTGAATGTATACCGAGTTTCCTATCCAGCTGTTCCTGGAAGCTGTCTACTAATATCCAAGATGGCGGGAATTTCGCAAAGGCACCCACTGAAACCAGGAAATCTGCCAGCTGCGAACTCATTTCAAAAAAATTTTTTACCTGGAGATGAAGAATGACGGTCTGGGAAGGGGTCTGTCTGCAACTCTCAGATTACCTTCTCTCTCTCTCCCCTCCCAATCACCACTTTAACTTTTCCAAATGAAGCAGAAATAATACAGGCATAGGTGTAGAGGCTGAACCCGCCATTTCCTTTGGATCGGGGGGGGGCACCAGATGGGCAAAAGATCTAGGGACCCTCCCTCCCTGCAGGTTCCACAACTCCTAAGCTTTACTTAGATGCTTCCCCTCCCAAAAAAGTTTGAATCTTGTTAACGACCGAAACCTCAGACAGACACGTCCACGCACTGTTGGGCAGCATGCTATCATTTCTGGTTAGCAAACATTCGCGACTGGATTTTCGTGTGCAGACAAGACAAGGCCATTGCAGACGATCATTACAGTGCAATGATAGTGCTCTATCAGTGTGAGGATGTGGCTCTCTTCCCGTTTGTTTTGCATTTCTGGCTGACCTCCCATCAGGAATGTGGTAGGCAGAGGCAAGATTTTTTTATCATTCGACAAAAACAAGTGTACAGATGTTCCACGCGCTATCAGGTTGTAAATATGTATTCTCAAGGCCAGTGATTTCCAGACTGTGTTGCTAGGAATTCTGGCCTTCCTTGGCTGCTCTAATAAGATCAGAAGCTTTTCTAGAAGGTTGTTCCGTCTGCCACTACTGAATTTTCTCTCGCAATGGACAGCTGCTGGAGACTTCTGGGGGTTCCTTTAAGGTACATTCTCCGTTAACAGGGAGCAACAATGAGCCATTACAGGGTGGACCATCACTTTGAAGTAAATGACAAAATGACCCAGAATCCTTTGCGATGCACAGCATTCTGGGGTGACTCTGCTACCTGGAAAAGAGTCCCCAAAGACAGAAAGTTTGAAACAACTCTAGTTGTTCAAACAATGCGTAAAACCCATGTGGATCAGTAACCTGACTCACAATTCAGTGCACGCAAAAGGCTAAGATTTAGGGTTACCAGGCTGAGATTTGGGGAGGAGATATGGGGGGCATGTGATGTTGATTGTGTCGCTACATCACTTCTGAGGGTGGGGGGAAACAGAAGCCACATAGGATGGCTCTAAAAATCGCCGGTGACTTAACACAGTTACTCGACATCATTTCTGGTTTTGTTTCTTCCCAAAAGCCATGTAACAACAGAGCAGTTTCTTTTTTTAAAATCCCACAATTCTTCACCATTCTGAGTGGCACAGGACAACAGAACCACAGGCATCCCAACCAGGGGACCGGCAAGCCCACCAGCATTATAATGCATTTTGAAACAATATGAAAATAACTGACTACTAAAATTTAAGAATTAAGCCATTAATTTTTTTAAAAGGCACCATTTCAAAAATGTTCCACCTGCAATACAACTAGGGTTGGATCCAAGAAGCTGTTCCGATGGTGAAAAGAGGACACCTTGACTACCGAAAGAAGGCTATGCTGAGAATATCAGATTTTTAAGGGGCTGTATTTTGGGAGGGAACTGGGCACGATTGAGTGAAAAAGCTGGCGGGATAGAACCCATTATAATGTAAGGCAATTAAGCCTTGATCTTATTTTGGACTCAGTGATAGCATAAAATAAACAGAAATTGGCAAGAGAAATTCTTAAAAACCTGAACTTTTCTTTTATTTCTGCTGCTTTTGGCCACAGATCTCAAAAGCCCTTAACGGAGAAGAATGGGAACTCTCTTTGATGGTTCGGCAGTGGAGGTCTCTGTCCACGCTCTGGAGGGTTTTTGTTATGCAACTACAAAGAAATATATGGTGATGGTGGAAAATACCATCAAGTTGCAACTGACTTATGCCGAACCCGTAAGGGTTTCAAGGTAAGAGATGTTACGGGGTGGTTTGCCATGGCCTGCTTCTATGTCACAGCCGTGGACTACCTTGGTGGTCTCCCATCCAAATACTGACCACGACTGACCCTGCATAGTTTGCCAGATCACAAGACTGGGCTACAAAGAAATACGGACCTGGCTAAAACAGGATGTGAAAGACACAGATTTCAGGATCCAACACATCAGCTTCTGAAACAGGCATGGCTGCATTCCCAAGAACTTTGAGTAAGCCCCCTTGAATAAAATGGGATTTACTTCTGAGTAGATCTGTTTAGGATTGTTCCCTTTGCCACTTGGCTTGAGTAAGATTGGTCCAGTTTAAACAAGTCTCTCGAGGATTAGTGAAATTTCAGATGTGTGAGGCCATGTCACCCGACAACTAGAATTTTATCCATTTACACTGGATCCAACCTTTGCTTCGAGGAATACATGGGGCTGTACCATTCAATCCTTTAAAAGACTTCTGTGAGTTATTTTATGCAGAGAGAGAAAGATTGTCTGAGCCGAGAATATCCATGTGTACTTTATAGCTGAGTAGAAATTTCAACCCAATTCTTTTCTTTTGCCTCTTCCACTATAGCGGCTTTAGCAGTGTAAAGACAGAAGAGCCGTGCCACATTTGGCATTCGCACTGCAAGACAGCCAAGGGAAGCTGTTTTTCTCAGTCCAGTACTGGAGGGCTAGGGAGCTAGACATGTATTCAGTATATGACAGTAGTCATATATGGCTGCAAGAGTTGGACTATAAGGAAGGCCAAGCACCGAAGAATAGATTCTTTTGAACTATGGTGCTGGAGAAGACTTGAGAGTCCCTTGGACTGCAAGGAGATCAAATCAGTCAATCCTCAAAGAAATCAACCCTGACTGTTCCCTGGAAGGCCAGACACTGAAGCTGAAGCTCAAATACTTTGGCCACCAAATGAGAAGGGAGCACTCACTGGAGAAGAAGACCCTGATGCTGGGAAAGATTGAAGGTCAAAGAAGACGGGGACGGCAAAGGATGAGATGGTTAGACAGTGTCATGGATGCAACGAACATGAAGTTGAGCCAACTTCAGAGGACGGCGGAAGACCGGAAGGCCTGGTGTGATCTGGTCCATGGGGTCGCGAAGAGTCGGACTCGACTGTGCGACTGAACAACAACAAAGGGAGCTACAGCCCTCGCCTGGATGGCCCAGCCTAGCCCGATCCCATCAGATCTTGAAAGCTAAGCAGGGTCACTCCTTGTTAGTACTTGGATGGGAGACCACCAAAGAAGTCCAGGGTCCCTGTGCAGAGGCAGGCAATGGCAAACCGCCTCTGTTCGTTCCTTGCCTTGAGAACCCTACAGGGTTCACCATAAGGTGGCTAAATCAAGATGGATCGCCGTGTTAGTCTGTCTGTAGCAGTAGAAAAGAGCCAGAGTCCAGTAGCACCTTAACGACTAACAGAATTTGTGGCTGGGTAGGAGCTTTCGTGAGTCACTGCAGTGACGCCCCACCTCCACTCACACAGCGTGCCTGCCCCCCTCTACGCCTCTGTCTCAGGTTATGGGTCAGGATGTCACATTCGCCACCCTTCTCGTATTTTTAAAAAATATCTGAGAGCAAAAGCCTAGTAGCACCTTAAGGACTAACAACATCTGTGGCAGGGTATGAGCTTCTTCAGGTACCTTCTCTTCAGATTAGGTGATTGTGACTTGAAGAAGAAGAAGGGAGAAGACATTGGATTTATACCCCGCCCTTCACTACCCGAAGGTGTCTCAGGGTGTCTTACAAACGCCTTTCCCTTCCCCTCCCCACAGCAGACACCCTGGGAGGTAGGTGGGGCTGAGAGAGCTCTTGACAGAAACGGCTCTTTTTCAAGGACAGCTCTAATCAGAACTATTGCTTGCCCAAGGTCATCCAGTCAGGTGCATGTGGAGGAGTGGGGAATCAAACCCGGTTCTCCCGGACTTAACCACTACACCAAACTGGCACTCTGCACACCTCCGAGGAGCTATGAGGTGATTTAAAAAAAACACACACACAGAAGAGCCATTCAAATGGCCTCCTGCACAGTAACCCTCTTCGCACCAGCAGATATTTCTCACACCAATTGTAACTTCTGAACCAGCTCTTTGTAGCTTCATGATCCCTACCTGGTTCTCTAGGTCGGCTTTCTCTTGCTTCTTCGACTCCAGTGCCTTTTCAAGTTTAGCTAGTTTGTCCTGGACCTCCTTTAGGGCTGCTTGTTTCTTTCTCAAACCATCCATCGCTATTTTCAGCTCCCCTTCTGCCGCATTGAGCTTTATTTTCTTGGGGGCAACTATTTTGGCCACTCTTTAAAAAAAAAAAAGCAAGCTGAATATACTGCAAACATGTCTGCATACAGAAACCAGGGTTGCCAGTCTCCAGGTGGGGCCTCAGAATCTGGAACTACAACTGTCCTCCAGGCTACGGAGATCAGTTCTTCTGGAGAAAATGGCTGCTGTGGAGGGGGGGGACTTTCAGGGATCAGACCCCGCTGAGGTCCCTCCCCTTCCCAACTCCTCCCCTCCCCAGGCTCCACCCCCAAATCTCCAGAAACACTACACAAATCTACCTACAATCTCTGCACACGCACTGAATGACTACATTCAAAGGCAATTAGTTGTTACTAAAGTACTAAAAAGAGTAATCTTAGTCAGGAGAGGAGGAGGAGGAGATTTATTTATTTATTTATTTATTCGATTTATATCCCGCCGAGGCAGGCTCAAGGCGGCTTACCCAAAGGTGTCTCAGAGTGGCTTACAAACTCCTTTCCCTCCCCCTCCCCACAACAGACACCCTGTGAGGTAGGTGGGGCTGAGAGAGAGAAGTCTGCTCTTTCAAGGACAGCTCTGACAGAACTATGGCTTGCTCAAGGTCACCCAGCAGCTGCAAGTGGAGGAGTGGGGAATCAAACCCAGTTCTCCCAGATTAGAGTCCGCGCACTTAACCACTACACCAAAGTGGTTCTCTAGAGGAAAGGTGAATGTTGAAATTAGCTGGCAAAGTCTCTTCCTCTATACCAGCATTGCTATAGATGCTGGAAGGGTTTTCCCCAGCAAAATTTCATTAAAGATAACCTCTCCGGGCTTTTGTCGACCTGGACAGCTAAAATGCTTGCTTAACAGTTAATGCTTTGTTTGCCAGACATGATGATCATGAAAGAGGAAGTGCTTGGATCCAGTGTTGTGCTTGGATGAATGTAAGAGAGGTGCATTCATTATCACATTTCCTGAATCCAGATCAACTGCGAATTCACTTCCTAAGGAACACTAGAATTTTAATAAGAACATAAGAGACGCCAATGTTGGATCAGGCCAAAGGCCCATCCAGTCCAACACTCTGTGTCACACAGTGGCCAGAAATACCAGTGGACCAAGAAGACAGAGCATCACTTGCCCCAGAGCCCCTAGCTATACCTTGTGGCTAATAGCCACTGATGGACCTCTGCTCCATATGCTTATCTAATTCCCTTTTGAAGCCGTCCATGCTTGTAGCACCCACCACTTCCTGTGGCAGTGAATTCCATGTGTTAATCACTCTTTGGGTGAAGAAGTACTTCCTTTTATCCGTTCTAACCCGACCGCTCTGCAGTTTCATGGAGTGCCCACGAGTTCAAATAGCCTTCTGTATCAGATTTTCTATTTCTTAATACTACGCTGAGATTCAATTTTTGGCTGAAAGGAGGCCCAGATATATTAAAGGACTAAAAGCAGTAATAAATATTGTCAGATAGGTGCCCCAAGAACTACACTTCCCAGGATGCAGTGAGACATACACTGGAAACAGAATCTGAGACAGCAGAAGGCAGGGAGGGGACTCGTGCTCCATTTTTGCAGGCAACTTGGGGCTATATTAGACATGACCATGTTTGTGGGTCTGACCCATGGACCCTGCCGACATTTTAAATCGATGTAAAAATGCTGCGATCGCAGCACCGTGGGCTGAGGTGCGCTTGTCCCACACACACATACACACCTTTACAACTGCCAAAACATACCCCACGCTCCCCTCCCCCCCAGGGCTGTTTCAATGCTTGAAAGAGTGGTGGGGAAAACAAGAGCACCTCAGCCCACTGTGTTGTGGGGCCAAATAGGATTGGACCCTTGAAGCATTCTTAAATCTCTTTAAAATGGCGTGGCATCCATGGATCAGACCAACGAATGCTGTCACGTCTGGTCTGGGCCATTTAGCTGCTTGACTGGCCAGGTTGCGCCATTTTTGCACTGGAGGGGGAGGGCAAGAGGTGGGTAAATTTCCACAGCAGCGATGAAAACAAATTAAATGGGGGGGGGGACTACACCTCAGGCAAAGTTTCTGTTCTCTGCAATGGAAATGCAAGCCAAGTTAACATCCTGTGTACAATCTACTTGGCTTCCCACCCTTAAACTGTTAGATATATTAAGATTAATGATGTATTTTACAAAGGTAATTAATTTTATAATGGTGTTTCTGCTTCTGAGTGGCCCGTGGGCCATAATAAGGACTGGCTGGCTGACAAATGAAATGGCGTTAACAAATTTTTTAATGTAATTATGTGGCTGGAGAGACAAAGGGGGAAGTTCTGTGGTGGATCCAATCGTCCTCCAAGTAGCCCTGCTCCACCTTAAGTAGCTATTCCTCCACTGCAAGAGCCAATGAAATTGGAGAGAGCCTGCTTAGATCAGAGGGGAGCCAAGCCAAAGAGAAAGGTGGGGTGTAAACATTTAAATAAACTAACAAGCAAACTTTGCTCATTAGCTGCTGTAGATGTTTCCGGGCTGTACGTCCGTGGTCTCAGCATCGTAGGTGACCTGACGTTTCACCAGCAGCCATGACTGGCATCCTCAGAGCTGTAACACAGCAAGATGGAGTACCCTCTGTGTCAAGGTGAGAAGAAAAATGGTAGGCAGGTAATTTATATCTACTCCAGAAGGTGGAGGTAGGGCCGAGTCATTATCTGGTAGGAGTTCCCCAGGCTGTGAAACATGCTAATGGAGGAGCTTTCCTGAGGAGGTTCTTTTATACATTCGACTTATATACTGCTCTAATCCTTGACAGGGCTCTGAGCGGTTTACATATGGTTTCCAAATTCCAATTCACCTAACTAGGGCCACATTTGTCTATAGGGTAGTGTCTGCCTACCAGCACCCAGGGCTTGTTGGTATCCGGCTTCCTCCAGTGGCTTCGGGTTTTGGCGTCCTTCTGGAGCTGGTCTTTCCGGGCAGCTTCCTCCGGCAGGCCTTGTTCCGGCGTGCGCGGCCCCATGTTGGCTGCAGCTACGGCTAATGTCCTTAATGGCTCCTGCCACACCGCGCTGCACGTCACCGCGCTCTCAGAGCCTCCGCCTCTCCGGGTTCCGCCTCCGATGCTGCGCTCTCCATGCCTCCGCCTTCGACGTTGCTCCACTGGAACACCAGGAACTGCTCCGCCGTCATCACTGTTGCCGCCGCCGCTGATGCCCTTACCTCCCAAGAAGGAGGGTGCCCCCCGCCACCTAGGGGCAGGTACCCAATTTATCTACTTGTCATTTAATACTTTCAAACCGCTGGGTATATGGATATATATATGGATTGTTTCCTGAGGAGGTCCCTGTTTCCTGAGGAGGTTCTTTTGTATATGGAGTGTTTCTTGAGGAGATAAGATTAGAATCTCGACAGCCAGTCAACATGAAAAAGAACCTCCTCAGGAAACAGGAAACCTCCTCAGGAAACAGCCAATCCATACACAAAAGAACCTCCTCAGGAAAGCTCCTCCATTAGCATGTTCACAGCCTGGGGAACTCCTACCAGATAATGACTCGGCCCTACCCCCACCTTCTGGAGTAGATATAAATTACCTGCCTACCATTTTTTCTTCTCACCTTGACACAGAGAGTCCTCCATCTTTCTGTGTTACACCTCTGAGGAGGCCAGTCACAGCTACCGGCAAAACATCAGGTCCTACAATGCCAAGACCACGGCTGTACAGTCCAGAAAATCTACAATAGCTAATGAACTCCGGCCGTGAAAGCCTTCAACAAACTTTGCTCAGTTGAGCACTAAGGCTGCAGTGGGAATTGACCTGTTTGAACAGGAAACAGAATGAGTTTTTCCACCTGGCAGGGTGCAAAGTTGAGAGAGCCTATGCTGATGATTTGCGGGAACCCATGCTTCTGTAAAGACTAGGAGTTCTTCTGCAGTCCCATTTTCGTCACTTGTGCGTCCCTGTTGCTTCAGGGTGTTTTTCCCCATTTCTGCCCGTGTTTTGCTTTCCCTAGTGGTTGCTTCTACATGACATCTCTGTATCTCTAGTGTTATTTCCCTGCTCTTTAAAACTGCAGGGAAATATGTCGGAGATACAGCAATGTAATAGCAAAGTGACCACTAGAGGGAGCAAAAAAACCCCTCCAAAGCAAGAGAGATGCACAAGCAACGAAAATGAGAGTGTAGAAGAACCCTAGCACTGTCTGTTTGTGAAGAAGAAAAGAAGAAATTGAATTTATACCCTGCCCTTCACTCAGAGACTTAGAGCAGCTTACAATCTCCTTCCTCTCTCCAAAATAGACACCCTGGGAGCAATGCTCCCGCTAAGCTGTGGAGTCTTGTGAGCAAACATCAGGTCCTACAATGCCAAGACCACAGCTGTACAGTCCAGAAAATCTACAATAGCTAATGAACTCCGGCCGTGAAAGCCTTCAACAAACTTTGCTCAGTTGAGCACTAAGGCTGCGGTGGGGATCGACCTGTTTGAACAGGAAACAGAATGAGTTTTTCCACCTGGCAGGGTGCAAAGTTGAGAGATCGGCAAGCCTATGCTGATGATTTGCGCGAACCGATGCTTCTGTAAAGACTAGGGGTTCTTCTGCACTCCCATTTTCGTCACTTGTGCGTCCCTGTCGCTTCAGGGTGTTTTTTTCCCCATTTCCACCCATGTTTTGCTTTCCCTAGTGGTTGCTTCTACATGACATCTCTGTATCTCCAGCGTTATTTCCCTGCTCTTTAAAATTACAGGGAAATATGCCGGAGATACAGCAATGTAATAGCAAAGTGACCACTAGAGGGAGCAAAAAAACCCCTCCAAAGCAAGAGAGATGCACAAGCAACGAAAATGAGAGTGTAGAAGAACCCTAGCACTGTCTGTTTGTGAAGAAGAAAAGAAGAAATTGAATTTATACCCTGCCCTTCACTCAGAGACTTAGAGCAGCTTACAATCTCCTTCCTCTCTCCAAAATAGACACCCTGGGAGCAATGCTCCCGCTAAGCTGTGGAGTCTTGTGAGCAAAAATTCTACTTTGTGAACTACTGGCATTAAAGTGGTGAGCGAGCGATTTGGCTACTGCATAAATTAGTTTGCTCTGGAGCCATCCTTCCTGAGTGAAGACAAAAATGTGTGAGCCGGAGGCTAAAAAACTGTGAGCTAGCTCACACTAACTCAGCTTAGAGGGAACATTGCCTGGGAGGTAGGTGGGGCTGAGAGAACTCTGAGAGAACTGCTCTGAGAGAACTTGTGACTGACCCAAAGTCACACTAGCAGCTGCATGTGGAGTAATGGGGATTTAAACCTGGTCCTCCCAGATTAGTCTGTGCTCCTAACCACTACACCAAACTCCTCCCTGTTCAGTTTGCATATTTGCAAATGAAGAGATATTACAGCAACCACGCTGAGTCCCCAGGCTTCTGTCTTAACAAGGGAATGGAACTGACCCTATAGAAATCTACCCCCTGGAACTTCCTGCTATCAGGGGAAGTGGGGGCAAGAAACAACATCCATCTGGCCCAACAATCAGACTGCAAAGGCTTACTTGTCATAAGAATCCATGGCGATGACCCATTTGCAGAGGCCCTCAGCAGCAGTGGAAGCATTTCGGATCTTCTCAGGAACAAACTCGGGATTGGTTATATACTGTTTTCTAATGATGCTCATGTAAGCTGGAGGAATGTTGTCTTTGTCATACTCGTGAAGGGACTGCAGAAATCTCATGTCTCCCAGAACTCTCTTAGCTGGGCCCCAGAAATCTTCTAGCTTTCTCCCACTACCTGTCGGATCTGGGATTTTATCGGCCTTGATGCCTTTCAAGATGCAAATGGTTTCCATCACAAGCTTCACTCCAGCAGGGGGACTCTTCATAGACTTTACCACTGTGATATCCTTGAAATAAATAACAGTCACTATATATATAAATCTTTGATCGCTATAATTCTGGCATTGTCATTATATTTCAATATATCCATGCAAACCTGTTCATCTTATTACTAAAAGGTTTCCCTTGCTCAAAAGCTATTACTAGGGGTGTGCCAAAAAAAAACCCCTGTATTTTTCAGTTTGGGTCTATTGGACCTGGGCGGGGAGGGAGGTATTTCTGGAAAATCCCAAATCCCAATACGAATCTTTTCGGAAATCCCAAATTTATTCGGGTCTAATGGACTCGAGAAGAAAAATACCATTATTTTTTTTTAAAGCCAGCCCAACCCTGGCTGGCTTGGCTTCTCCTGCAGCGCGATTTAAACCATGCTGCAGGAGAAGCTGGCCCCAGGACCTGTGTGTGGCGGGGAGGTAAGAGAGGATCAGCTGAGACAGTGGGAGCTGAGAGCTCTGCATCACCTCGGCTGGCGCTGGCTCCTCTTGCTGTTCGGTTTGAACTCTCAGCTCCCGCCACCCCAGCCCAGATCTCTGGTCTGGCTCCTCTTACCGCTCGCTTTAAACCTTCTTTTACACTCAGATTCTCTGGTCTGTATTCTGCTTAAACAATACCCCCAAAATACCGGCAAGGTATTTTTCGGTTATTTTTTTCCAGCTTGGTTTATTCCAAATGCACACTCCTACTTATTACTGATACAGAGAACTCGTTGTCTGACCTTTTATTGCACACTTGCTCCCTATTTTTACCCAACCAACTGCTGCAATCCATATGTTCTTTAGAAATTTTAAAGCCAGGGAAAATAAAGACCTTTTCTGTAAGATAGATAGATAGATAGATAGATAGATAGATAGATAGATAGACAGACAGACAGACAGACAGACAGACAGACAGACAGACAGACAGACAGACAGAGATAGAAGAAAGAAAGAAAGAAAGAAAGAAAGAAAGAAAGAAAGAAAGAAAGAAAGAAAGAAAGAAAGAAAGAAAGAAAGAAAGAAAGAAAGAAAGAA